CAGCCCTATTTTGTATTTTATTTAGAGACAGGGTCTCACTGAGTTGCTCAGCACCTCGCTGTTGCTGAGGCTGGCTTTGAACTCTCAATCCTTCTGCCTTAGCCTCCCGAGCCACTGGGATCACAGGCATGTGCCACTGCACCCGGCTCAGTATAGTTTCAAATTTTCCTGGTGACTAATATTGTTATTTGTTCATTTCACATTTCCACTTTTTTTGTGTGTGTGTGTGAGACACTTTCTGTAGCTAAAACTTTTATTCCCTGGGTTCTTTCCAGAAATTTCTAGCTGAGGTGATGCGGTAGTGTCGGGGAACTATAAAGACTCCACAAAGGAGTCCTCTGATGGGGCTGTGAGACACACTCCTAGTGGGACTTTCACAGCATCTGGAAGATAAGCAGGCTTGCAATTGTAGCAGCTCCAGACAGTTATTTTTAAATTGTTTAAATGCTTTTTTTTTTTTCACTGAGCTAAGAGTAAGACCGAGCTACCTAGAGGCTGGTCTGCTTTCCCAGCAGGCAGAGGAAAAACAGAAGAACAAGAGGGAATTTCTCAGAAAAGCAAAAGGCAATGCCAGATGAAAGGTGCAAAATCTGTGGGATCAAGCTCCTCTTGAGCCCGGTGCTGAGGGCCCCGGGAGAGCCCAAGTTCAGAGCCTATTGGAAACGGGTGACAGGGTGTTCCTGATGGGCAGGCGTCCTGTCAGATGTGATTAGCTCATTATGCTAACGTGATACCTGGTTTATGAGTATCCCCTAAATTAGATTGACCTCAATCTCCAAAGAGCATAACATCAACCGTCTAGTGTTGCTTACTAAAAACAAAAAAAAAATTCACACTGGGTCCTAAGACGGACGTCAGGTGGACACTGTGGAGGGTTCCTATCCAGATCTGAGGTCACGTGGAAGTGGGTTGTGCTGAAGAATCAGGTCAGGAACTTTTGTCAAACTACTTTATTGGCATCTATGAGTGTGTCTCCACGACCAATGTGAGCCCCCACTGCTTTGTGAATTTCACATACTTCTTTTCTTTTTTTTCTTCCCCAATTAGGTAAGGGCTATCAGGGGGCCGTAACTATTACCTGGGCTGCACTCTGTTAAAACTTCGGTGGTTGATTTGGGTCTCAGGTAGCTCTGGAGGGCTCATTTGCTCAGTGTGGAGATGGAGGAGGTCAAGGGCAAATCAGACTGCAGACACCCTTTAACTTGGGGCTTACGTGAAGCCTCAGCGTATCAGACTAGCTAAGTGCATTTTTAAAATCACCTTCTCACCTCATCTAAATGAGAACTAAGAGAAAAGGCTTCCAACTGACGCAGGGATTTCTTATTTTATTCTGAAATGTTCCTCCTTAGAAAGTCCTAGAATGTGATACTGATAGTTTAGAATTGAATCTATGCTGTACCACTGACGCACTGGTGACTGGGATCAAAATAAATGCTCTAATTATCATTCTGTTATCAGTGAAATGTGGGGTAATATATATTACTACTACGTGTAACTAGCAAATCAAGATTTTAATGTTCAGTATTATTGACCAATAATACGAAATTGATTGTATGGACAAAAATGTGGCTTATCAGTTTCTATTATCCCTGACGCTCATCACTTTTTATAGAAAAATAATTGATTAATGGTCAGTTTTTACATCAAAAAAATAAGTCCAAACTCATTTAGAGAATTATTATGAAGATTTTAAATTCCCAATTATGAAAGTATATGATTTCTTATTAGATTAAACACATACAAATATTGGCAACAGTGGTTGGAATATTTCAAAAAGTTTATTTTTAAAATACTCTTACCTTAGCCCATATTTCCCTATAAGGCAGTTACTTTCTCACTCATCACAAAAAGACAAACAGAGCCAAGCACTGGTGTGGATCTAGTGCACCCTGACTCCTCAGATGCTGCAGGAGGAATTGTACAATTGGTACAAACTCTTGGGAAAGGTGCTCAAAATTATCCGCTAAAGGTAAACATACTTTTTGACCCAGCATTTCTAATTTTTGGTAAATGTTTAACATAGGTAAATGCTAATAAGTAACACACTTATAAGGAAGTTCTTGGCAGCATTATTCACCATCGGCAAACACTGGAGACAAGCAATCACAATAGGAACGTGCTCATTTTCATTTTTCAAATCTTTATTAATATAATCTCTTATTCAATTTTTTTAATTATTTGAAAAATTTTAAATATTTTTAATAAAATGGTAGTTATCCATGTCTTGACTGTAGGGAGGGGAGAGAAGAGGTGCTTCTGGCGTGCTGAAAATGTTCCTGACCTGTGTCTGAGGCATGGTTACACTGGTGTCTCCATGAACCACATGTGACATATATGTGGAGGTGGATATAAAAATTGGTTCCACTGTACTGTCCAGATTTTCGTGAGCATTATGCATTTTATTACAGAATGTAATGAGGACATTCCCACTCAGAATCATGTTTTTTATAAAACTCCCCATGCAATCTTGCATACGAGGTTAGCTGAACAGTGAGAGTGCCTGCAGCCGCACAGCCCACTCTTCCCAACAGGAGGCATATCTGCTCCACCAAACTGATGCAGGACAGAGCAAGTTCAATCAAAAAGTCAATTATTAATTAAGTTTAGTTCTTTTGTGTAAATTGAGGTTGAGATGTGTTCCTCTCATTTATTCTCAGTGCATCTACCCCCGTCCTCCTTTGCCCTTTTCCTTGTCTATTATACCCTGGACACCTGAGTTAGGCCACTTCTGCTGCCCGTGATTGTCAGTAGGATATTTACCCAATAAATTTCTGGAGGAATTGTACATAAAGATGATTTAAGCAGAAATCTGCAGATTTTTTTTTTTCCTGTGAAGGGCTAAACAATAAACATTCTAAGCCCTTGTGACCAGTCTAAGCCCTTGGGGCCAGATGGTCTCTGTCACAACTTCAAATCCCAAGTTATAGCATGCAGCCATGGACAACCTTCTTTTTTAAAAATGGCTTTCTTTCAATAAAACTCTATTATGGATACTGACAATGAATTTTATATCATTTTCATGTCACTAAATATCTTCTTCTTTTTTAAATAACCATTTAAAAACATAAAAATCAATCTTAGCTTCTTGGACATATGGAAGAAAGCAGGGAACAAGGAATTTGGTTTCCAGGACATATTTGCAGAGCCCTGATTTAGAGTCATGCAATTCTAAGTGACAGACATCTCCTAAAGGATCTCTGCCCCACGTCCCACGGGAATACAATACATGGTTTCCACTTGATTGTCATATTTCAGTGTGTGGCTGAAGGAGACTTCATTTCTCATTCCTTTAAGGAACACTAGATAACAAAATTAATATCAAGCCTTTGCTTCCTCTTTGAC